TATTTATTTATTTATTTATTTGCAGAACCGGGGATTGAACTCAGGCCCTTGCGCTTGCCAAGCAAGTGCTTATTCTACTGAGCCATCTCCCCGGGCCCACCTATTTTATTTTTTAATCATTTATGTATTTATTATTTCATATAGGGTCTTGCTACACAACTTGGACTCCTAGTAATCCTCCTGTCTCAGCATCCCCAGTGGCCAACACAGCGCACCTGTGGTTCCTGGGTGTCATGGCATGTAGTACCAGGGATTGAACCACAGTCCTTGAGCTTGCTAGGCAGGTACTTAGACTGCTGAGCTATCTCTCCAGCCCCTGACAACCAATCTTCAATTCAGAGATCCCCAAGTTACTTGTACAGAACCCACTTTTACTCTTAGGAGTTAGGAAGCACTAACTCAAAAGGGCAAAGTGAGACACTTTATGGTACAGGAAGTAAGCCAGAGCTTGACAGCTGTACCTTTTAGAAAAGCTCAGGAACAGTGAGGTCTTGAAAGCCACGGAGATGAAGAATTCAGATGCTGCTGGTAGAGCCCGCCCTCACCTATAATTATGCTCTTGGTGTTTGTCTTTATTTATTTATTTATTTGGTAGAGGGTCTCACTATGCATCTCAGACCCATAGTGATCCTCCTGTCTCAGCCTCTCCAGCACTGGAATTACAGGCATGTACCATTACACCTGGTTTCCTTGGCTGGTTCTTTGCCCAGAGTTCCAGGGCTGGCAAAGCATAAGGTACTAGGGATGGAACCCAGGTCCTTGCGTTTTTCAGGCAGATGCCTCAACCACTGAGGCATCATGTGGTTGAGCCATGGGAACATGGCTAGCCCCAGCCATGTCTTTCACTGTGTTTTTCTTCGAGGTTTTGTGCTGCTTCTCCTTAGCCTCCTCCAGGTCTTTCTGTATGGTCCTGTGGGCTGTCTTCTCCATGTGAATGTCATTTTCTGCACTTTGGTACTTTCCTTTGTATGACTTAATGGTTTCACATTTATGAAACTGATCTGAGAGGCTGTAGCCACTGCTGTCAACTCCCAAAGCAGCCTTCTCCTGGGGCTAGTTCTTATGGTGCAGAGGGAGGGTGTTGTGCTTCCTGTGCATGGGCTGTGGAATTGGATGTGCTCCCTCACCTGGGAAAGTAGTTCCCAGCTCTTCCTGGCCCGGGAGAACTTGTGTAGCCTCTTCCTGCTGGACTCTCAGGCAGCATAGGGGTGTACATGTTGGGGTAGAACCTGCACTTGTCCCACTTCACCTTCTTGAGGTAGTGCTTCTCTAGTTGGGTGTGCTTACTGTCTGAGTGCTGGTGTCTCTTCAGGCCTGGTCAGCCCTGCTCCTGGTTCATGAGTGGTGGTAACTATACCTGCTCATGTTGTGTCGCTCACCCTAGCTGAATCTCTCACCTGTAGCTCAGAGGAGGCTGGCTTCCATTGCGGTGTTCTCTGTCGTGGTCTTCCTGCTTCCTGTGCTTTCTGTTGTAGGAGCGCCACCCTCTGTAACAATGGTCCTGCTCCTACTCTGGTACCAACTCTTACATTTACTCTGATTCTGACTCTTACCTTTCTGCTTTTCTCCACTGGAGGAGCAGTTTCGACCCTCATGGTGATGTCCTCAGTCACCTTTCCTAAGCCCAGTGATTTTCTCTTTAACTGAAGGCTTATCTGGAGCTGTGCATAGCCTTACCTTCTCTGCACCTCTACCCATGACTGTGCTCAGCACCCCCTTTGGAATGGACATTTGTGGTCCTGTGTGGTGGGGCAGAGGGCAGCATGGCAGCAGACTCACCTGTGCTCTGGGACAGGACTTCCATGTCACCATGCTGGTCTCTGCTGAGTTAAACTAAGAGCTGAGGATCTTATCTACCTTCTGAATTTTTGAATAGAGTCAGGCTTAGATTCTGCACTGTGTCTTCTGGATCAGAATCGTGCAGGCTCTCAACTAACAACCCTTTGACTTCTTGGGCAGTTTCACTGGCTTCATGTGTTAAGTTCCTAGCATCACAGATTGAGGAAGTGGGTCATTCCTATGCCTGTCCTATTGGTGTTACAAAGGTTGTTTACAAAGGGCAAAGACTCATCAGCTTAGGCAAACTGTTTTCTGTGACTTCTTTAGTAGATTTCAGGCTGCTGTCGGGGCAGCAGAGCTGGCCTCACCTTGCTGCACAGACCAGGGACCGGGTCCAATTTCTCAGGGGAACCAGCAGTGGTACTGCCGGTCTCAAGCTCTGCAGCAGGCCTCCTGATGGAGTTTTTTCCTCTGCATGTGGACTGCATCCCCTCAACAGTAATACTGCAGCTCTAGACCTCCACTGTTTCCAGATAGACTTCTTATTCTTAAGAATTAAGTCTGAACAGAAGAGCCACATTGGGGGCTACTGACTTCCTGGCTCTCGCTTTCTCTTGGAGCCTCAGAAGCAGAGCAGCTATTTCTATTTATTTATTTTTCAAAGCTGATTAATAGGACATTTTCAATAATTATTACATTGTACATTCTTATCTTTTTTGTGGTTATCCATAGTACAAGAAGCAGACAGGATATCCTGTCCAAACACTATTACTACAAATCTTTCTTCTTATTGAATTAAGTGAAAGTAGCTGTATATCTATCCCAACTATTCTGTATGTGCAAATACAAAATGGTCCTTTCTTTGTATCCCCTCTTTTTGTTCAGTCCTGTCAGAGATCGGTATTTTATTGGCATCTAAATGCCATAGGTACTTGAATTCAGCAAAACAGTCCAACACAGTCCAGGAGTCCACAATAGTAGTGGGTTATCTGCAGAAGTTGTTCACTAGAGCCTTTTACAGCTCAGCATATTAATATGGCTTTACTTTATATACCTTGTTTTTATTCTTTTCTGCTGAATGGTTAAGACCAAGATAAAGCAAGACCTGTATAACAATAAAGGTAACTTTTGTATCTGATAAGGTCAGTCAAGTCCCCTCAGGATTTATCCTGTAACCCTGTACCACAATTTGTAGATCCTTTGTCAGTGTCAGCCATGTGGATGAGTCACAGCCATTGCTTAACCAATTTGCTCTCTGAAAGCCTGAGAGAATGTTTTCTCTCCATGTGATAAGAGCAGCTATTTCCAAACAGAGCCAGCAGCTCTTAGAATTGTAGAAGAAAAGGATTTACTGAGGTTGTGAGAAAACCTTATGCAGTCAATGCAGGCTGCCCTTGGCAGCTGGCAACTTCTGACACACTCCCAAGGTGAGCTGACAGCTGTAGGAAAGAATAAACTACCTGCCAAGATCTCCAGTCATCAATGAGGGGAGAACTTGTACCAAGTCCCATGGCAAAGTTAAGCTACCCTCAGTGGAGGAGATCCTTGGGGCCTTACGCAAAGGAAGGAGTGTTTGCCCTAGTACACGCATGGCTTCACTCACGAAAATGTATACAAATTCTCTTGCACATTGAATTTGGGGACCAAGGTGATTAGGGAACAAGGGGAAGTCCCTGCAAATGACAGGGCATCCCAGCTCTTCTATCTTAAATTCAAGTGGGAACGAATGTTGTCTGTATCTGTTCTGCTTTAACAATTCCACATTCCTCAGCCAGGTTCTCAGGGGCCATCTGGGGTCCTCCTCCACATGTCCTCACATCCATGGGGTGATAAACCAGTTCCATTATTGTCACAGTTTCCACAGACACTACACTTTCTAGGAATCCAGCAGTTGTGTAAACTGAGGGATGGTCACACTGCGATGTAACTGTAACTCACCGAAGTTGCTTTAGAAAGGGACTTTCTGACTATGAAGCAGGCCCTTTTGGGTGATGTATTATAGGGGACCAGCACACTAGAGCTTACCTTGGACTTGCCGTATATCAGTGGCTTGGAGTTCCTATGGTAGGGCCTCATCCCTTTTGGCTTCATGGCTAGTAGAGTGAGCAGAGGCATCATTTCTTGTCATTTTCCTTGGCCAAGCCCTTTGACCTGTCATGAGACTCTGTGTGGCTCTGCACTTTAGGGGACCAGCACGCTGGAGTTCACCTTGGATTTGTGGCCCATCACTGGCTTGGTGCTCCACTCTCTTGTGGGGAGTGGCTTTGCTACTTCGGTAGAAACTGACAGTGCGGATACAGAACAGTTGCTGGCAGTAGGAGAAAGAGGTTTGCTAGGAGCCTCTGAGACATTGCTATGTTGGTTAGGGTAAGACAGAGCTTGGTGAACCAGCAGCATATGATGAACCCTGATGCTGAGTTTTTGCTCCTTAGGATGTTCTTTTTTTTTTTTTTTCCTGTGTTTTAGTGAAGAAGCCACAAGGTGTTCAGTGTCTCACTACTATATTGGACTCATAGCGATCCACCTGTTTACTGCCTTCCAAGAGCTAGGATTACAGGCGTGTGCTACCTTGCCCAGTCTGTCTGTTTATTTATTTATTTACTTATTTATGTATTTTAGGAAAGGGCCTACAGGGTGTTCACGTTCTCACTACTAGATCGGACTCGTAGTGATCCTCCTGTTTATAGCCTCCCAAGAGCTGGGATTACAGGCGTGTGCCACCATGCCCAGTCTCAGTTGCCTTCTCAGTGTGTCTTTGGGGCAGGGCCGGCATGGCAGACCCTGGGATCAAATCCCTGGTTCCTGTACCTGCTTGCAGGTACTTTAATCCACTGAGCTATTTGGCCAGCCTTTCCTCCTTAGGGTGTCCTGGTGTCACAGGAGGGCAGTTAACTCCTGAAGAAGCATCAACAGGACTAACCCTGTTGTCAGTGGGACTTCTACTAGGACTGGACTTGGAACTTCTTGTCTTTCAGTAGCCTGGTCCTGTTCAAGTGAGGTGAATTGTGCAATGATTGAAGCCACAGCCAAGTGAGCACTCCAGAACTGGGGACTGCTCCAGCAGTGGCCTTCCCGTTTGGCTCATAGGACTGACACAAATCATGAACACTGCCCCTTTGTTTCATCTGCTCTACCCACACGCACCTTTCACAGGCCCTGTGTTTCTGGAAATAAGTCCACACACTGGACAAACATGTCTCTCAGAACAGAACCCTCTTGGTACATGTTCATGTAGTTCTCCTTGGCTAGCTTCCTGGGAGGCCACACTATACAGATAGAAGTAAGTAAAAGCAAAGGAGAAACACAAGGGCAGAAGGCAAGGCTGCTTCAGCCTCTGTGTGTGAGGTTACGACTGCCTGCCAGCAGCTCATGATGTCTCGCCATTCTGCTCATTCA